TCAGAGGGAGAAGCAGACTCCCTGCTGAGCAGGAAGCCCGATGCGGGACTCGATCCCAGGACTCCAGGATCATGACCTGAGCTGAAGGCAGTCGCCCAACCAACTGAGCCACCCTGGCGCCCGAGCATGCAACTCTTGATCTCAGGGTTATAAGGTCGAGTCTCATGTTGGGTGGAGAGATCACTTAAAAATAAATCTTGGGGCGCCCGGGTAGCTCAGTTGGTTAAGCGTCTGCCTTTGGCTCCAGTCATGATCTTGGGGTCTTGGGATCAAGCTCCGCATTGGGCTCCCTGCTCAGTGGGGAACCTGCTTCTCCCTCTCCCCCTGCTTGTGCTTGCTCTCTTTCTCAAATAAATAAATAAAATCTTAAAAAAGTAAATAAAATACAGTCTTTAAAAAAAAGAAAACCTACATGTTTAAGAGTTTAAAAGAGAGAAAAGCTAATGGGGATGTTGATTCTTTAAGAGCGGAAATAGAGTGGTAGGGTTTGATAAGAGGTTTGGCCATAAGAGGGTTAAACCAGCTGTCATTCCCGAACAAAGGTGAGAGGAGGTCAGGGGCTGGCTGTGGGCAGAGTCCAAGAGGAGCTCCTGCAATGATCTGGGGTGGGGAAAGACAGCCTGGGCCCCAGGCTTAAAAGGGGTTTGGTTCCCAGGAATCAAGGGAGCTGGAAAGCAACCAGCATAGGCTGGCAGGAAAGAGCAGGGTCCAAGGGCTAGGGCTGGATGCAGAGCCAGCAGCCCTGAGGGAGAAACAGGCAAGCCTAGGGAATGGGAGCAGAGCCAGGCACATCTTAGCAAGGCCGGCTATCTGGAAAATCACCTGCCTAGTTCCAAGCAGACACGGTGAGGGGCAAAGTTTGTATTTTGACAGCCCACTGTGTTATAAAAACAGTTTTGTCATGGATGAGCAAGCTTGACAAAGTCAAGTGGGAGGTGGGGGGGGGGGGCAAAACGACAAGTGGGGAGGCCCAGAATCCCTGGCCCCGCACATTAGCTTGGATACTGGCCATCCCTGTGAGACAGGGGCTTGGCTGGGACAGCCTCCAGGGGCCCCATTTGGCCTCAGAAGCACAGCCACTGTTCCCTTAACTTCCCGCATGCTGGGTCTGCACCAAGCACTTTGCTTATTAGGTTAATTAAGAGTCTTTTACTTATGGGCACCTGGGTGGCTCAGTTGGTTAAGCGACTGCCATCGGCTCAGGTCATGATCCCGGAGTCCCGGGATCAAGTCCCGCATCGGGCTCCCTGCTCGGCAGGGAGTCTGCTTCTCCCTCTGACCCTCCTCCCTCTCATGCTCTCTGTCTCTCATTCTCTCTGTCTCAAATAAATAAATAAAATCTTTAAAAAAAAAAGAGTCTTTTACTTTGGGCACCTGGGTGGCTCAGTTGGTTAAGAGACTGCTTTTGGCTCAGAGTCCTGGGATCTAGTCCCGCATCGGGCTCCCGGCTCAACGGGGAGCCTGCTTCTCCCTCTGATCCTCTCCCCTCTCGTGCTGTTTCTCTCTCTCTCAAATAAATAAGTAAATAAAATCTTAAAAAAAAAAAAAAAGTCTTTTACTTGTGAATTAAAAAAATCAACTCAAGCCAAATTAATTTAAAAAGCAGGAGGAGGGGATGCATGGGGAAAATCCAGGAGCATCTCCTGACCCCCAGGTCAGGAAGCAGCTGGCCTCAGGAAAGGCCCAGAGCGGGCACTCGGGGGCGTCGGACATTATCCAACAACTTGTAGGTTCTCCCTGTGCATCTGCCTCATCCCTCTCCTCAGCAGACAGGCTTTTTCTGATACTCAGTTGACAAGGCAGAGGGCCACCTGCAGCTCCCAAATTCCCACATTACATGTCCAACCACAGGGAGAAACTAAAGCAGGATGTGCTTTGACAGAAACATGACGGCTGTGGTCCTGCACTATGACCCCGACAAGGAGGATACTGCCAAGGAGGATGTGTGTAGATTTGAGTCCAGTTTTGTTTGGCTCCAAAGCCAACAGGTGGTCCTCAAAGGGAGGGGAGAGGCACAAGGACTGTGTTCAGCAAGCCCACAAAGGGACACTGGGACACGGACAAAACCCAAAGTTCTATATGAAAATAAAACTTTAATTTGCCAAGGGAACATTGCAGCGACCCTTCACCCCCTGTACCCGAGTTCTCCTGGGGCCGGGCAAGCAGGGCCTCCCTTCTCTCTGGAAGCGGATGGTGCTCAGCTGGGGGAACAGTCATAAACCCAAGGCTGAGGCCGTGCTCAGAGGTGGGCAGGGGGCTTGGCCGGCTCCTTTCGTCCCTCACCAGCGATAGGCCGGCCTCGCTCCTCCCAGATGGTGAGGCCATCGCAGGAGCAGATCTGCTTGGGGTTCTGGAAGAGGCCAGCAGAGCGTGCAATAATGCCACAAGCCAACCTGAGGAAGAACGGGTGGGCAGGAGTGGGCCCTGGGCACTGGTCCGGGCTCCGCCGGGGTTGGCCACGCATTGCTGGCCGAGCGCAGCCTCCTGCTGGGGGTGGCATCACTCACCTCTCTCCTGAGTTCCCCGTGACCTTGGATAAGGGATGGCCACCCCGGCCCAGGTCGTCTTCTCCCTCGTCGATGACCAGGCTTCGGCCGATCACATCCCATACCTTTGAGGGCACATAACAGCCTCAGACAGTCGACCTGTTAGAAGAGGTCCCCACCTTCTTTTCCAGCATACCTTCAGCTGCTCATCCTCTATCCTGAAGCTGGCGCGGCCATCAGCATCAGCGTGGACGTTCCCCAAGTCTCCACGGTGCTGCAATGACACCCAGGGGAGAGAAGAGGGGCGCATGGGGCACAGCTGCTAGCTTCTGGCTTCCCAGGATCCGATTCCCCTTCCCAAAAGTACCAGTGTCCTCCTCTGGGTACAGTCTGATAGGATAAAGGGATGACCTAGGACACCAGGAAGGCAACTGGATGCTCCCTCCAGGGAACTGAAATCCTGGACAGCGACTCCCTTCCTAGGAAGTCATGCCCACTGGACCACACTGTGTCTCCTGCAAGGCTACTGCCCTCGCTGCATCTCAGCCTCAGAAGAGGTCGCTGCTGCTTTGAGAGCCCAGTTCTCCAGGCTCTTCTTGACTCTAAGCCCTTGGCAGTCTATAATTCCCCCGGGCCTAAGCTGGCCAGGCTTGGCTTCCTGACCACAGAAAGCAGCCAGCATCGTTCCCTGACTCCCAGCCTCCAGGAACAGAGAGAAGAAACACAAGGAGCAGGGGGCCTGTTCCCCCCCACCCCCGAAGCTGGCTCTGCCTACCTTCTCCCTTTTAAGGTAATACAAAATGTCCTAACACATCTACCGAGCACCTACGTCAGACATACGCCGCCGGCATGGGGGTGGGGTATGCGTGCCGTTCCCACCCTCAAGGAGCTCAAAGCATGGTGGGGAGACAGACACCGAACAGACCAGTGAGTATGAAACACAGACTGAGTACGGCGGGGAGTAGGTTTTCTGTTGACCAGACCCTACTGGCAGGTCAGAGACCCGTATCTGTGCCAATAAGCCGTCGCCAACCGGACACTTCAGGCCGGGCCTTGCTGTGATGCACGGTCAAAGTATGTCACTGCGTGGCGGGGCTGACAAGCAGCAAGATGCACCGCCTCTGTTTCATTCCGTTTTCCAGAAAGACATCTGTGCTGACACCTGGACCTCTGTGTTACCCTGCACTGGTAGCCTTTCTGGTAGAAAGATCAAGGAAAGGGAGGTGATACCGAGCCCTGAGGAACATCTTCAGGACTGGGCTGAAGGAGCGAGCTGCCTGGCAGTGTGGCTCAAAGGCATGACCCAGCAGCAGGGTCCTGTCCCTCCCCTGCACTTGGCCAGGAAGAACTGGGCCACAGGGCCTTGAATGTTACACCAAGCAGCTGGGCTGGGCCTATATACCCTCAGGCACTGGGGAGCCAAAAACAGCTGTGGACAGGGGCATGCCATGGTTACTGTGCTTTGGAGCAACCCCTCTAGCACAGTGCATGAAGAGGAAGGACTGGGGGGAGGCGAGAGAAGAGAAGGCACCTTGGAGATTAGTTAGGAGATGTGCAAAGGGACAACCAGGCTCTGGGGTAAATGCCCACACTGACTTCACTTCCTGCTGGGCAACAGCAGATGCAGAAATCCCAAAGGAACTCATCAGGCATCATGGTGGCCTTGGCAGTCCGGATGTTACTCGAGTCTTCCTCCACCTCTGCCAAGGACTTGGGGACGGTAGGGCAGCTGGTTCCAGCCCCTTCTGCTTCCCTGCCCTGAGAGGGGCCCGGGCCCCAGCAGGCCAAGGCACAAGTGGCAAGGCAGTCTCTCACCCCTCTCATCTCGACTCCACAAGAGACGCAGTGCTCCCAGTTCCCAAATGCCCCTTGCTGGTTCGAGGGCGCTGCCTATGGAGTTTTCCCCGCTGTGCCTGACATTCGCACTCTCTGTTCTTCACCTGCCTAATTTCTGTGTAGCACCTTTCAAGGCTCGATGAGGACGACAGCCTCTACGATGCACCTTCCCTTGTATTTACATCCTTGTGTGCCTCCACTGAGTGTGGGCTGGACCTAGGGTCACTTGCTAGATTCGGTTACAAAAAGAGAACGGCTTGGCTCAATCTTGGATGCCCTCTCTCATGCACTTGCTCTGAGGGAAGCCCAGCTGCTGTGTCGTGAGCCGCCCTAGGAAAAGGCCCACGTGGCAAAGGACTGATGTCTCTGGCCAAAAGCCAGGGAGGACCTGAGGCCTGCCAACAGCAACACGAGCCTTCAGATGACGGCAGCCCCAGCCAACGCCTTGATTACAAGTCACCCTAAACCAGTGGCCCCCAGCAAAGCTGCACCCAGGGTCCTGCTCCAGAGAAACTGAGATGATGAATGTTTCTTTGTTTTAAACCCCCAAGTTTGGAGTAATTTGACGCATAGCAATAAACCGTGGCTACACTGAGAACAACCACGGCACCACACAATGGACCCAACAAAAACTTGTTTGGCTTCTCCAACTTGCCAGGGCAGAAGGGGAAAGGAGTCAAACTTCTAACCCTTTGAAATGTCACAGAACCGTCCAAAAAATCAGGTATGTGAAGAAAGAAACATGCACCATAGGGGCACCTGGGTAGCTCGGTCCATTAAGCATCGGACTCTTGCTTTCAGCTCGGATCATGATCTCAGGGTCATGAGATCGAGCCCCACAATGGGCTGGGCGCTCACCGGGGTGTCTGCTTGAGTTTCTCTCCCTCCCTCTGCCCCTCCCCAACATGTGTGCTCGCTCTTTCTCTCTCTCAAATAAATAAATAAATCATAAAAAAAAAAAAAAAGAAGAAGAAGAAAAGGAAGAAGAAAAAGCAGGCCTTCCGTAGTCCCCAGACCTTGCAGGCCAGAATCCAGCAGGACTCTACTAACATTTATTTGACCACCACTGACTGTTTTTACAATGAGCCTACTCCTATGGCTACAAGAACTGGTTTTCCCGTCTCTCTCATTAAAAAACAAGTCTACCTTAATTACATGAAATGATGTCTTGATTTACTTCAAAATAATGATGGAGAAAGGCTGGAGGTGTAGATGAAACAGGACCGACCAAGAGTTGGTCACTGTTGAAAGTGGGTGATGGGGACACAGGACACAGGAGCTTGGGACAAGTTTCTGTACTTTGGAATGTTTGGAACATTCCATGCTGGACTAAGACATTAAAAATAACCAAATTTACCTCAGGAAAAAACTGAGTTAACTTACAGCAGAATGCGACGTTAACTAACAGAACAAGCCGTACGCAGATGAGCAAAAACCAAGGCAGCATGCAACTCACTGCCGATGGGAAACTGGTGAAAAGTGAAACTCCAGGCCGGGAGTTGCACCATCAGGAATGGCCTTTTTAGTCAGGTAAGATCTTCAACTTCCACACCTTCAGCTTCTCCAGGAAGCTTCCTCCCACTGCCCATGTCCTGGGGCTCAGACTGGATCGGTGCTTTACTCTGGGCTCCCAAGGCCTCCTACAGGCTCCTGCAAGGAAGGATCGCCTCTCTGCCCTGCAACCACGGGGTTCTCAGGGGTCTCCCTCACAGGACTGTGAGCTCCTGGGGGGTAGGCCTTGACCACAGAAAGGGTTGATATTTCTAAATGGAACAAAATAAAGCAAGGGGACCCCACCAAAAAGGAATCACATGCTAAGGCCCTGGGAGCGGCCTGCCTTGCCTGAGGCTTCAGGCCCTCTCATAGCCTAAGTCTCACCCAGATGGATACTTACCCGGTCAGAGTCCTGAGGGCCCCCATGAGATGCTCCATCAGGGTTAAAGTGGTCCCCACAGCTGAGAAGAAAAGGTAGCAGGTGGGCAGCAAGACAGTGGCTCCCAGGCCAGCTGACCCACCCTCTCACTTTAACTCCATTTATTTCACTTGCTCACTCACTCACTCACTCAACAAACAGACTCACTCTGTGCCAGGCTTTGGGGTGAGGGCACCAAGAATCAGATGTGGGTCCTGCCCTCAGTAAGCTTTCAGGGGAGACACAGATGAGGAAGCAACTAAGTGCATCACAGCACGACAAACACCATGGCATGAGGACCTGTCCTTCCGTGTCTAGGAGTCACTTCCACTTCAGAGGCAATAAGGTGGTTACGAATAGGAATGCTAAGGTCAGATTTGGGTTCAAATCCCACCCCACCATTCACGTGCCCTGGGGCCTTTGACAAGTCCTTTAACCCTCTGAGCCTCCGTTTCCTCGTCTGTAGACTGGGCCTGGGTGTATACGCCTCACGGTACTTGTGAGGACCAGGTGTGAAAGTGTGTGCAGGTGGCTGAATACAGCCCCAGCACATTGTGGATGCACGAGTGGGGGGATGAAGATGCCATGGGGGAGGTTACAGATGACTCACCTGTTGCAGTTCCCTGTGAGGTCCCCAAACTGATGGACATGGAGTCCATGCAGCCCAGGCTCCAGGCCATCAATGGTCCCTTCGATGAGGCAGCGTTCAGGGCTCAGCTGTAGGAAGCGCACCACCCCTTGCACAGGACCAGGGCCCTCCAGAATGGCAACTGCTGCCCCCAGATTCTCTGTAAGGTATCAGATCCCCAGGCTGGCTTACCACCTCAGCTAGCCCCACACCTCCATCAGCTCAGGAAGGGCAGGGAGAGAGCTCCACGTAACTTTCATGCCTTCCCCAAAGCCACTCGAACCCCAAACCCCCAAATCCTATGGTTTATATGTGTACCAGCTCCAGGCCACCTCCCTCCCAGAGAGGCCAAGGCCAGGGCCATAGTGGCTACTCACGCAAGAGGCCACTGCCCATGCCCTTGAGCACTGCCTGCCGCCCTGTGCCTTCCAGAAGGGCCTGCACCTCTTGGCTGGGCAGGGTGGTCTGCACCAGGACCATCTGGTTCTCCAACTGCACTTCCACACTCTGGACACCTGGAAGGAGAGAGAGGGGAGAAGGCAGCAGAGGGCTGACACCCCGGCGCTGGGAGCAAGGAAGAAACAGAAGGTCATTCCCCATCCTCATCTTCACCAACCTTCCCCTGGCTGGAGGTAAGCTCGGAAGCTGTCTTCCGGCTGTGTGAAGCCCTCATCCTCTCTGAGTCTGTATTTTTATAAATAAAGTGCGGATAAGGCCTCCTTACCCCCAGGAGTGTTGTTTGTCCTTATTACGTGCCAGGCGTTCTTTATAACTTAAGAAACAGAGATAATTATTTTAAGATGTTTTTATAAAAGCGGGCCATCAATAAATAGTCCATTACTCATGATAGCCACAAGGTGAAAATAACCCAAATGCCCATCAATGGATGAATGGATAAAGAAAATGTGTATCCATTATTTCTCAGCCATAAAAAGATGAAAGGGAATGAATTGCTCATAATGCTACCACAGGGAAACACCTTGAAAATATGAGGTTAAGTGAGCGCCAGTCACAAAAGCCCAAATGGTAGGTGATGCCATTATGGATGAAATGTCCAAAACAGGGAAAACCTACAGAGCTAGAGAGTAGATTAGGGGGTGGGGCAATAGGAGGCTGATGGCTAAAGGGCACGATTCCTTCATGAGGGGCTGAAATGTGCAAGTGATAATGGTGATGGCCATACAACTCTGAACATATTAAAAACCATTGAACTGTACACTTAAAATGGGAATATTTTATGATATTTTAATTATATGTCAATAAAGCTGTTATACACATCAAAAAAGAGAGGTGAGCTATCAATCACCATCATCGTGAGAGCTCACATCAACCACAAGTGCACTGGGGGCTTTTTTGTAATTTACCCATATTAGCTCGTTAGACACTCAAGTAACCCTGTGAGGTGGGTCCTATTATCCCTATATTACAGATGAGAAAACTGAGGCACAGATTTAAGAATCTTGCTCAAAGGCAGCGTAGTAAATTGTGGAACTGGGAATTCATCTCAGGCAGCCTAGCTCTGGCGCCTACCCAGACACCACTCACCCTGAGCAGCAGCCCCCACCCTCCAGGCTGGGTTGGGACCCCCTCCTCTGTCCTCCTGTAGCAGCTCCCTCTTCCCCTAACTCACGCTGCACTGATTATAATCCTCTGTGAGTGCGGGAGCTCTGTGTGGTCCATAAGGGTCAGGTTCAAAAGTTAGTGTGTCTCAATTGCCTGCCAAATCCCCGACATCACCCTGTGTGCACAGAAGACTATGGGATGATTCTGACACACGCTCGGCTTTGGGGGCCACCGACCCAACTCAGAGAAGGAAGAGAAGGGGCTTCTCTTTCATTCAGATATTCAGGGCTCCCAAGCCTTTTAAGAGAACTCTCCAACCCTTAGCCAGTGCACAGGCGATGGATTGGGAACAATAATGCTGCTCTCACCTGCAGGGCTTACACCATTCTCTCTTTGATCTTAGTGTTTGTTGCTCTGCAGGGTAAAGCCCAGGGGAGCCCTGGGCAGTCCAGAAGACAAAGGTTAAATAAGCCGATTAACGCTGTTGAGATGGTGCTCTGTGAACCGAAGGCTACAATGATTGTTGGTGTCCCCTTCCTCTTTGGTTTTCCTCTTCTGTATTCTCTCAACAAATGTGTGCTGGGCGTGGAGGAGGCCAGGGTCAGGAAAAGCACTGGTCCTTGTCCTCAGGGAGCTCACAGCCTGCTGGAGAAGCCAGGCTATGCCTGGATTAACCATCAGGCAGAGACAGAAGTCACAACCCCCAGGGTACGGGCAAGGTACTCTAGCTGTTCAGATTCTGTCCAGCTCAAAAGGGGGCAAAACTGGGCGATTAGGGAGAGGTAGCACCCGAGAGAGGAGTATCTGGCGTGCGGCTACAAAAGCTCTCACAGGCTGGTTTCTCCAGATCCCCTGCGGTGGCGGCAGGGACACTGTCGGGGGAGGGGCGGAATTTGTAAGACATCAGAGGAACACACACAGCCCCCCCACACACAAGTACAGGGTATTCTGTGAGAAGAAACCCCCCAGGTTACCAAACTGGCCTTCACTTCACACAAAATTTTATCCTGCGCCAGCAGGCAGCCCGTGGAGCGTCGGGAGCTCTGGGTCCACCTAGAGATGCCTCTGGACGTCCATGGCTGCAAAGGAGGTACGGGGAGGATGATGGGGGAACTCTTGTGGTCTGAGCCTCCAGGGGATGCCAAGAGCTGTGCTCTGCCTTACACACATCAGGATGATGATACTGTCCTCATCTGACAGGTGAGGAAACGAGGCTAGAGGGTGACACAACTGGCTTGAGGTCATAAAGCTTAGAAGGCAGACTGTCCAGGGGCGCCTGGGTGGCTCAGTCGTTAAGCGTCTGCCTTCAGCTCAGGTCATGATCCCAGGGTCCTGGAATCAAGTCCCGCATTGGGCTCCTTGCTCAATGGGGAGCCTGCTTCTCTCTCTCCCTCTGCCTGCAGCTCCCCCTGCTTGTGCATGCTCTCTCTCTCTGACAAATAAATAAAATCTGAAAGAAAAGAAAAAAAGAAAGAAAAGAAAGGAAGAAAGAAAGAAAGGAAGGGAGAAAGAAAGAAAGAAAGAAAGAAAGGAAGGGAGAAAGAAAGAAAGAAAGAAAGAAAGAAAGAAAGAAAGAAAGAAAGAAAGAAAGAAAGAAAAGAAAGAAGAAAGAAAAAGGAAAAAATCAATTATCTATCTACTGGACAAACAGATTGGCTTTTGGGCGATCTGGCCACTCTGGGAAGCTGGGAAGCTGAGAGCTGAAACCAAGTGCTGAGGCACACAGGTGCTGGGGACCGGGGGCCAGATCTGAGCCCAGGTGTTTCTAACTCCACTAAGCCTACAGCCCCACCCCTCTTGGCCCTGAGGTTTCTGCGTTGGTCCATCTTTTCCTTGTCCTATCATTTACCCTTTTTCTTCATGTTGACTTACTTTTTAAGCTTATTTTAAAAGGCAATTTAATGGGCTCCACTCTGTGTGTGGAGCCTACTTAAAAAAAGGAAAAAGAGGGGCACCTGGGTGGCTCAGTCGGTTGAGCATCCAACTCTTGATTTCGGCTCGAGTCATGATCTCAGGGTCGTGGGATCAAGTCCTGAGTCGGGCTCTGAGATCAGCTTGGAGTCAGCTTAGGATTCTCTCCCTCTCCCTCTGACCCTCCCTGCTGTGCTCGCTCTCTTTCTCTCCAAAATGGATAAATGAATCTTTAAAAAAGAAAAAAAAAGGCAATTTAAATCATATTAGCTAACACTTATATAGTGATTATTAAGCACCAGACTTAGTTCTAAACATTTTACACACAGTAATTCATTTAGTCCTCATGGCAATGCAATGAGGTAGGTACTACTATTATTTCAAAGTCCAGATGAGGAAACTGAGGCATAGAGTGGTTATATGACTTGCCCAAGGTCACACAACTAGGGACATGGTCTAAATTCAGACCCAGGGGTCTGACTCCCAAATACATGCTTTTAACCACTATACTGTTTCTTATCATAAAATCTAGAAAACAAGTCTGCCCAGTTGAAGGCCATAGGATGATTCTGTGTATGATCAAATTTCTGACTTTCATTTTTGCCTGTACCCTGAGGAAATCTGGCTCTCAGTCAACCTGATTCCCAGAAATGACTCTGAGGCCCTCAGCATGATTCTTTCAGGTCTAGAGCCCTTTGCCTGAGCCTCTCCCGAGGGCCAGATGCTCTGCCTGGGGGAGGGAGGTGGGAAACTGGAAGAAACCAGAGAGACCCACTCCCTGTTGCTGAGGAGTTTAAAGTTTAGTGGGGAAGATAATTTCAATAATGTAGCAAGTAAAGGGCACAGTGGGACCCCACAAAAAGGACATTCAACAGAGCTGGGGGTGATGGGATCGAGCCCCACATGGGGCTCCCTCTCCAGCCAGGAGTTGGCTTCTCCTTCTATCTCTCCCCCCATCCCCCACTTGTGCTCTCTCTCTCTCTCAAATAAATAAATAAAATTTTAAAGATTTGTTTATTTATTTGACAGAGAGATAGAAAGAGCCAGAGAGCACAAAAGGGGGGTGGGCGAATGGCAGAGGGAAAAGGAAAAGCAGGCTCCCCGTCGAGCAGGGAGCCCGATGCAGGGCTCAATCCCAGGACCCTGAGATTGTGACCTGAGCCGAAAACAGATGCTCAACCAACTGAGCCACCGGGTACCCCAATAAAATCTTTTAAAAAAATACAGACAGGGATGGGGCACCTGGGTGTCTCAGTCGGTTGAGCATCCAGCTCTTGGTTTTGGCTCAGGTCATGATCTCAGGGTCCTGAGACTGAGCCCCACGTCAGGCTCCATGCTCAGTGCAGAGTCTGCTTGGAATTTTCTCTCTCTCCCTCTGCCCCTCCCCCTGCTCTTTCTCTCTCTCAAATAAATAAATAAATAAATAAATAAAATCTTAAAAAAATGCAGACAGGGCTCTCCCATGTTCTGGTGGGTGAGACACAGCAGTCGTACAGGTAAAACAAATCGTATGTGTTATGATGACAAATGTTATGAGGGAATAAAAGCAAAAAGGGCAATAGAAAGTTCAGAGGGTAGCAATTTAAAATAGGGGATCAGAGGAGGGAGTATTTGAGCAAAGACTGGAAGGAGTGGGAGGAGCCCTGTGATATCTGGGGAAAGAACATTCTAGGGGGGGAACTCGTGTAAGTACAAAAGCCCTGAGGTAGGTGTGTGCCTGGTGGGTCTAAGGAGGCTGGTGTTGCTGGAATGGCGTGAACCAGGTGGAGAATGTTTGGGAATTAGGTCGGAGAAATAATGGGGTTTTAACAGGCTTTAGTCAGAGAGGTGACATTTGGCTGCGCCATGGGCGATGGTTAGCAGGCTGCCAGGCTGGAGGTAGGCAGACGAGGGAGCAGAGCCACTGCATTGGGATGATGAGCAGGAGTGGAGTGTTTCAGAAGCAAATTTAGCAGCATCTGGTGATGACTGGGTGTGGGGATGAGGGCAGAGTCAAGTGCACCTCCTGGGTGTGTCTGGCTTGGGCTCTGGTGAAGCCCTTCTTGAGATGGGGAGAGGAAGGGTTTGGTGGGAGTGGAGTGGGATGGGGGTAAGGGAAGATGTTGAGTTCAGCCCTGAAAAGGTTAAGTTTGAGGTGCTTGCCAGGCATCCAAGTGGAGATCCAGGGGCATGTGTTTTTTCATAGACTCTGACAGAAACTCTGCTAAAGATAGGAATCTTCTTTGAACAGCA